GTCCAATCAAGAAGATCGCTGAAGCCAAAGCACGGAAGAAGCTGAGAGCCGCTCAGAGGTTGGAGAAAGCCCTGAAGAAGGCAGATGGGGTCAATCAAACAGGTGACATGACTGAGAAGGAGAAAGCCAGTCAAATAGAGAAGCTAATGAGGAAGGGAATGGGTAAGGGTAAACAAAAGAAGGATGAAGTGAAGCTAGTCGTGGCGAAGGGCCCAAACAGGGGCTTGAAAGGGAGACCTAAGGGCGTAAAAGGAAGATATAGAATGGTTGATGCGCGTGGCAAGAAAGAGGTAAGCAGAACACCACGCTTCCAGAAGCTGAACCAAACCGGCTAATGCCTTTCCGCAGTTACGTGCCCAGAAGCGTAGAGAAAAGGCGAACAGATCTAAAAGACGTTAATATAGATGTTATTAACTTTTTCCCTTCGGTCTAGCCATCTTAATCATATTTGTGTATCAGCAGATCTTTTCACGTCCCTAACTGTCAGCCCAGCTCACCACCCACTAATTATACGGGCTAGACCCACTGATATATCGAATTCATTCATCAAGTCAATTCTTCATATTGATTCCTCATATTCACCACCAAATCTACGCAGAATGCGAGGAGAGCGAACGGCTCTCGGTGTGCTAGGAAATAGAGCGCCACAGATAAAACGCCACAGCAGTCGGCAAGTTGGTTGCTGGACAAGAAATGTCGTCGCATGGTAGCAAAAAAGGATATCAACAACAGGACTATACGCCAGAGGAATACCATCCGAACGATTCGCCTGGAGCTCCTTCTCATTATCATTATGGTCATCAACAACCCCAAGTCGCTCAACGTCCAGTTCTATCGAGCTATTATCGTCATCATGAAGACCCTCGAAACTCTGGCACCACGAATGAGAACCGCGTCGGTCTACAAGAGATAATAAAGCACCCGTTGAATAGCCAGGACCGATTATGGACAAGAGCGCCTCAAGCTTCTCAATTATACTCTCAGTATGTATCAGACTCGAGCAGCTCTGATCCCTTCCGTCAACAACCATCAAGCATGACCGAAAGGATAGCAGAACACGTCCCATCAAGAGACCATAGCCGCAAAGAGACCGAGGTCGACGAGTCTGATGGTTTCAATTCCCAGCTCTCCCAGCTTCCACTGGATCCTGAGATTGTAAAAGAGATGTTGGTAAAACCAAAATTCCTTCTTGGACCTTCCGATTGAGGTGCTGATGATCTGATAGGGTTAAATCAAGCACACATACACGCAGGAAGCTGTATGTTCAGAGCCTGGAAGAGTATATCACTGATTCAAAGGAGGCGCTGCGGCAACAGGGTGTTACTCTCCCTCCCATTCTAAGGTCGGCGACCTCCACAGGGGTAAATGATCCCACCAGAGTCGTGAGTTGTTCTAGAACACCATGAGGAGTCGGATCTTAAGATTATTCAAGGACATGCTTAGCAAGATGGATGATAAAATGCAAAACTTATCGGAAGTTGTAGAAGAACGTGAAGCGGTGAGTGTCTTGGCCACCTCTACTACGTGATCATAACCCATGCTCAAGGATTTGATCAGGATTCTTCATCTTTGGGTGAAAGGGATTCATAGGTATAAAAGGAATAACTTTATTTCAACAGATAGACAGAATCAGGAAACATCTCCGGGTAATAAATATAGCAAATCTTCACTTTCTTTTTGAACACAAACACACAACATCTCTATAGTCTTGATCGGGGTCAATAAGCCATATAAATAAGGAGTAGAAAGAGACCATGATTCTCCCATGCCTGAGGGCGATAGGAGATCGTCGTAAAAGAAGACCTGTCAGAATGGACATTTGTATGTGTGGAATTGAGTCCAATGTTGATCTATGGCTCTGGCAACCTCTTTTACGGCGTTGCCATCGATTGGCCAGAAGAAGATCCCTGAGCGCTTCCACCTCTGCTCCGGTTTGGACCTCCACTACGCTTTTTGCCTCGACCACCTCTTTCAAAGTGCTGGTGTTCACACAATGGGTTTAGTTTCCAATGTCTTCCACGACCATCACTTCTGGTGAAAGCCGCACCGCATCCTTCACAAGGATATGGAGCTGTAATGATTGGTCAGCACCACGAGTTTATCAAAGGCATCTACGGTACTGACTTTCGCCACTATGACCTCGACGATGTCGTTCCAAATCATGTCGTCTAGAGAAGGATGCCGTGCAGTAGTCACAGGGGAACATGTCAAACTCGGTCTCCTAAAAAGTTTCATTATAGGTCAGTATTTCGGGACTTGAGTTTCAGGGGGATTTTTCGCTTACAGTTGGGGATTCTGAGATCATACCGGTCAATGGCTGTGTACTGGAAGCCTGGGGAGTTGATGGCACACCAGCAAGAGAAGAGGATCGTTGTAATTGTGGCATAGGGACGCGTGCATACGCCTGACCAGTAGAACTACTACTTGATAAGTGTCCAAGGGGTGGTGGATTCAGAAAACCAGGCCTAGAAAGGAGGGTCAGTAAGCATGGAGCTGGTCACTGGAATCAAGGACGCCAATACCCGGCAGGTGTGGCAGGGGCCCACCTCGCGACTTCATGCCTATAAAGGAGATCAGAAACGACGTTCACATGGATATGATGTAGGAAAATACTCACAGAGCCTCGCTCTGTTCGTGGCTCAGCTCTCTCATCAGATCGGAGAACGTCGGTTGTGTGCTGTGATCAAGGGCGATGGCTATACCCAGTAACGCGACCATGCGCAAAATTGAATGTGAATGCAAAGTATACAAATGAACGGAGGGTTCAGCGTGGCTCCGAGACCTTGTTTACGGCTTACCGTCGGGGGTGTTGGAGGCCGACTGGCCATAGTACTGGAGCATCATTTCGTCGTATTGGGGGTCGTTTTCTTGGGATTGTGGACGCTGGTAGTGACTTGGATTGGACATTTACAGGTGTTTCTTGTCTACGAAAGGTACCCCACGGCTTCCAGAGCCCTTTTATATCGAAAGGTGAACTCCAGAATGGGCTAGCATTAGATCGGATGGAGTTGGAATAAGACCGGACGGCTGAGAGGGTCGATTGAATTAGACTCGCGAAGCAAGGCAGAGTGGTGTGCGACGTGGTGTATGACGAGGAACTAGGGCAGTAGTCAGCAAGTCAATACTCATTTCTGGAAATCTCGTACTCACAGCATAATTAACGAGATTACTCTTTGTACCGGTTATAGAAAAACCGCTTCCACCCAACTGA